ACATATAAGTGATACATATTCAACATGGTAAATTACTATAGCGATCTCTAAGAAACACGGAGTGGTATTTTGTGAAAGAATCTAGCGAATTGGATTTTAAGTATTGAGGGACAGGACTTATTTAATGAGTGGGGTTTGAACAGAACCAAAAACAGACTTCAACTGCTATCACATACTCAGATTTTGTAAAGTCCTGAGCATTTTGATTTAGGATCAACACAACCTGCATTGATTGCATTGATACGTTAAGAAATATTCATGAATAAAAAAATAAGGGATTTATATTTTCTAACTTTACCACCCCGTATCTCGGAATCGGAGTAATTTTGGACTGAGGTAAGTTACTTCAAATCGGTTTATTTTGAACTATTTTGAGTTATATGTGCTAAAATTTTGTAAAAACCTTTTAGGAACGCACTGTATAGTGCCGCTATCTTCAATTTTTGACATGTACCAATTTGTGATACAATTTTTTCAAGAAGCATTTTAATTAGGTGTGGCTCATAAAAATCGGCTTACCAGTAACAAAATTAGAAATCTTGATACTTTGTTCGCGGAAATGGTGCCTTCTGAACGACTTCGAGACGGTTACCTGCGGCGTGCAATTTGCAATTTTCTGCGGTGTGGCGACGTCGACATGTGCAGAGCAAAAATATCTAACAAGCAGAATGGTTTAATTAGGTTGAGAGTGAATAATCCAGAAGCAAATTAGAACAGTCTAGCATACGTTAGCATTAGCACAAAGCTTTTGACGGTGCAACGTTCATTACGTTTGTGCCGTTGCTGCATGCAGCTTCTAGTACGTAAGAGGCGGATTCTTGTCGCTGTAGTTACTGCAGATGTAGAGGACATACGCATTTGTCTTTGCAGTTTCGGGTATCCTACTAGCAACTGACGTTATGGCAATCGCTATAAGTTTCCATAGAAAATAAGGGAATCAGTATCATTATACAATGTGCTCCACATTCGCTTCTCTATATAAGGATCTCGGTTCCTGTTATACTTACAAGCTGTCAAAGAAATTGCTAGTGCTTCAGTCAGAACCATAGAACGAGAAATTGGTGAGTCGGAATCAACAGTACAGAGATGTTAAATATGAATAAGTACTATCCATACAAAGATTTAGGGAAACTGATTTTCCAAGGAGAATGCGCTTCTGTGAGTGGTATACTAGTAAGTCTAATGAAACTCCCGATTTTGTAAATCACGTCTTGTGCTCCGATGAGACTAGGCTTACGAATTGCGACGTTCTTAATAAGCACAACACTCATCATTGGGCTGTCAAAAACCCTCACAAAGTGGTTAGAGAGTCATCTACAGACCAGATTTGGAAGTAAGGTTTGGTGTGGGATCATTAGTCACGTGCTAAAATCACGTAACTTTCTTTTTACTATTTTGATCACTAATCATTAACTTGAATTTCTCTTTATTAATAGTAGAGTGCCCATTCCTAGACCAAACCCTTTTTGATGATTTTATTTTGGTAAATTCCATAGTTTATTGATTGTATAATTTGTCACGTATTATATCTGTCATTCTCAACGAGTCAGTATTGTATTGAAATCTTTTAGACACTAATGTCATAGTATTATTAACGATCTTAGAAATTTCCTCATAAAATATCGTAGGACCCTCGTAGAGTAGGCAACCTTGTGATTTTTACACGTATTAGCCTTTTGTGAATGTTTACCTTCCTATTAAGATACCTTGTGTTGAAATTAGCTTTAGATACCTTCTTTACTGGATTTTCTCTGTTACTTTGGATTTTCTGTCAAACGTGCCTTCTTCAGGGCCACTCATTTAACCTGTTTTTTTTATGAAATAATAATTTCATTAAATGGTTGAATATCTTGGCCTCCTAGATCCCCTGACCTTTTACCATTCGATTTCTACCTCTGGGGTTACACAAACAATAAGGTCATTGAATTTGATCCTCCCGCGACCATAGAAATCCTGAGACTAAGAATTTTGAGCACAGCTGGAGGCATTAACAGAAATACGTTAGCTAAAGTCTTGATGTAAATGGACGTTATTTTGCAAATCTGTAATTTAATGCCCACTTACAAATTACATTACAATTTTGTAAGATATTTGTTAGTAAAAGTATAAAATAAATTTACGACGATTTTTCTGACTTGTTTTGGGAAGTTGTCCCAAAACATTTGACTTATTAAGAAGTCGATATTAACGTTCATATTCTATTGAAAATTCAAGGCATTTATGTGTTCTTTACGCCTTACTCAAAAGATCCGCCATTTTAGATTTTTCATGCTATTTTCAAATCCAATTGATCGATCGCAAATCTGAAGCCAGCTATCAAAATCACTCATCAAGTTTCCTCTAAAACTTTCGCCATTTAGCCTTTGCTGTAGGTATAACAGGAGCCGAGATCCTTGAATAGAGAATCGAATCTGGGACACACTATATCAAAAGTAATAGAAAAGATATTACTAGGTATATACTATTTTAGTATTGTTTATATATAAGATAAAGGCATCATAATCTACATAAAATGAATTTTTTAAATTGAAAATTGTATTTCTAAAGAAACAGAGCATTGATCATTGATATCTGTATGGTAAATGGCAGAACGTCCTTGCTGAAATGGTCAGACATAGAATCTTATAGCACAAATCTGTCAAAGTGACGCATTCATGTTTTGCACAACTAAGCCGCGTCTTTCTGGAAATATTTCGTTCTCGTGTACTTTATCGTTGTTTTGTATGTGCAAATAAACATGCTGTCTTGCGCTCCAATGATGCGCTGTAGACACTACGCTACGGATACAAAAAAAAAATCAGGCATAACGTTTCAGGGGTTAGTATATTGTGAACACAAAATGCGGAACCCAGCTGATGTGTAGAGAGTGTGAAAATTAAGTCAGACTTGTATCGTTCTAGTACAAATATGTCATCTGTGGCTACGCCCCTGACATTGCTTTGTATAGTCAAAATAGATTCTAATAGTGCCTCTCTAGGTACTATCTCGAATGTGTCGAGTCATATCTGAATTTCTTCTTTTGATATGTCCTTACGATCGATTATCGTTCACAACAGTTAATGTTGGTACTTCCTATTTATTATTTTTGAAGCGAAGAACATCTTTACCTTCGCACACTTCTTTGTACCGATTTGCATGCTGCTCCTTTTTACTGATTTTAATAATGTCCCCGCTTGATCCAGACTATCCAATATCTAATTTGGAAACTAGGTTACGGCACATCTACCATGAATCGATACCACGTTACGTGTCATCGGTAGATTTATTTTTAAAGGACAGAGTCGAGCCAGTACTGATGCACATTCCGAAAACCTTTACTAATAGTAGTAGTCCGGGATCTCAGGTACCAAGTCAGAAACAAATTTATACGCGTGATTTCGTGATTACTGCAAATAACTGTAGCAGCCACTGATGGACCTAGGCAGGGCAAATAGGCGATCACGTGTCCAAATATTTAGTTGCTGAACCTTTGTAGCGCTACTTGTAATTCAGCTCAGGTTCTAACCTGGAGCCGGAGTACTGGACATTGAACAGGCGAGCAAGGATTTGGCATAGAATTACCCTATAACGATTATAAAACTCCTTTTTCGAAATTAAACAAACGCAACCATACTGCTATCTTCATAGATATACTACCCCATTTTAAAATGACGTTACATCATAGATAAAAATCCTATATTAGCAACTATATTTCAATTTATCTCCTAACCTTGAGTGCAAATAATTGACCTTAAAAAGAAGCTCAAGGACCTTGGGAAAGAACTTATATATTTCCAATTTCCACTACCACCTGAGTGATATTTCTATAATACAGTGCTTTTCAACAAGCCCACTGTACTTATTTTTTGAACGGGTCAAGTTCAAGAGCCGAAATTCTGGGTGCATGAACACAATATTTCAACGTAACATCGTCTTCATTTTTCTGAAGGTTCTTGCTATTTTCTGGAGACTGAAGGGGGGTAGAGCAAAACTGATTACGTATTGGAGTGCAGAAGACGACAGTGTATCGGAGATCATGTTACATGTAAAGTAAAGGTATCCGTTTTTTGTGGTGAATCCGCCTCTCGCCTCTTTACCAACTAAACTCTCCTCCAAGAGGGTAAAAAGGCAAAAAGTAATAAATGAGACTAAAAATAGTTGAAATAAAGCTGGTGGTACGTTATTAAGAAACAAATTAGTTTGCCAGAGACGAATGTTGTCAGACTGTTATTAAAGGTGATGGTAGTTTTGGTACATTAGGGGGTGGTTGGGGAATTCTAGCAGGGGGATGTGATTTGTTTGGGATGAAATTGATTTACTTTTTTTCGTACAGTACATGAACCGATGTTGGACATTTCCATCAAAATTAAATTTAGGCCGAAAGTAAGCTTTATTAACCATCCTCCTTAGGAACTGCTAATACGAGGGATGTCCTTTAAGTTTTGCATATAGAACCACAGTAGGCCGCGCGGATCGAACGTCAGTACTGAATCTTAACCTCACTCCGTAGTAAACTTAAATTCAAAGTTTCATAACAATACGTGCAGTGTTCTCACTACAGTGAATTCTTAAGTGTCACCAAGTCATTAGAAAAATGGAACTCAACCGAGAACATTTTCGTGCCATAATTTATTTCAACTTTCAGAGACAATTATCGCAACAAAAATGCCTTGCTGTGTTACTGTCGGCAACGAAGGGCCCCATCAGTCGACAATTTCCCGTTGGTACGTAGAATTCAAACGTTACCGGGTGAGCCTTAGCGATGATCCCAGGGTGGGTGCACCAAAAACGGCAGTCACCCTCGTCGATGCGGTTCGCAAAATCATCATTGAAGATAGACATGTGACATATCGCGAGATTGAGGCGTCCTTGAAGATCTCAAAAACCTCAATTCAAAAAATGATCACATGAAGAATTAGGGGTAAGAAAATTAGTTTCTCGTTGTATACTTCACCTGTTGGCTGAAGGGCAGAAAGCAGCCAGGGTTAATTGGTGTCAAAAAACGCTTGACCGTGTCAATTCCGGAAACTCAAAAAATATGTACAGCATTGTTAGTGGTGATGAATCGTGGATTTACTGTTACGAACCAGAAGATAAACGATAGTCGGCTTTTTGGGTGTTCCAAGGTGAAGAAAAGCCAACAAAAGTCATCTGTTCTCGAAGTGTTGCGATATTTGTGTCAAAAGCGGGTCATATTGCAATAATTCCTTTTAATGAGCAAAGAGCTGTTACTCCGGATTGGTATACCACCATCTGTTTGCCAACTGTCATCACCGAGCTTCGAAAAATCAACTCCAAAAGAAGAATCATCCTCCACCAAGACAATGCAAGCTCGCACACAGCCCAAAAAACAAGTATTTAATGGAAGAAAACGTGGAATTATTGGACCATCCTCCATATAGTCCCGATCTAAGTCTTAACGATTTCTTTACTCTTCCGAAAATTAAAAACGGACTGCGTGGTCAAAGGTTCCAGTTACCAGAAGAAGCAGTTGACGCATTCATTAAAATGTCGTTTTGAATCTGCCAGCAAACGAGTGAAATAAGTGCTTCGAAAATTTATTCGAACGCGTGCAGATGCGTATTAATCTTCGTGGAGAATACTTCGAAAAACAATAAAGTCATTTAAAACTACTTACCGTGTTGTTTTATTTCCATATGCAAAACTTAAAAGACAACCCTCATATGATCTATATTCAGTCGTATATGAGACCCTAGACTATTCTGGAAATTGTCGCTAATAGTAGTCGCGCCACCTCATGAATTATTATCGTTGATTTGTAGTCTGAAATGAAAGCTAATGCGCGATAGCCAATTTTAGCATGGTAATAAATTATTTGCGATGAGAATATTTGACCGGCCACGTACGTGATTCCCGATATAAACGTAACCTCAAATTTACGCGAGATTATTTGTTGCATTAGGGCCATTGTTGTGGCTGATGGTTCCAGCCTATATGCATTGGGGTTGCTTCACGAGCTTGTGACCGTCACCTTGCAAAAAGATAAAATACTTAGTCTAACTTTTTCTCTAACATCGTATAGTTAGTATTTTTTTGCAATTTGCTTGTCGTGCAGAAATATTCACAAATTCGTCCTATGGACTTTATTTGACACCAAAATCGGAAATTTGAAGTGTCTCTGCTTTCCTTGCAAATTTTATCTTGCGCGATGTTTGAGCTTGACTAATAAATACGTATAATGAAGTTGCTCCAAAAACATATTGGGTGAGTCTTAAGCATGAGCCTGGTCAATAACTCTGCTATTGCAGAGAGTACCTAGAGAAGTTAATTACAAAAGTTGTAGCCAATAGTATGGTCCTCATAAATAACTATGCGGTGACACACATGCATTTTTTTAGTGGACAGCATTAAAGCATTGCATTATTGCAGATTTGGATACAGCCTATTAGTTGAAGCTAGCCATTGGATATAACATTCAATTTTTGAGATATTTGACAATCCTGTATCATGCCAAAACCATGTAATCTGCTTTTACTATTTTGATCACTTACCAGTAATTTGTCATAGAGAAACCACCATTTTCTTTTAATTTTTAGATTTTCCATAAAGTTTTCAGTAAGTTTTCTATAATAAAGTTTATACCTATCTTAAATTGTTGTGAAGCTATTTGAGTTAGTAATAAAATTCTACTGAAATGCGTGTGTCAAAAATGGCGCGCAATTTAAATCAGTCAGTTATATATTGGCCACTCTGTACAAGCTGTTACAACTACCTGTTTATGCTCAAAACATTCACCCGGCTCTGTTCCGGTACCTACAAACCGGAGCCCCGCGGAGCTTCCATTGTCCGTTTCCGCAACGCATTCGATTCAGATTTAATAGCTCGTTGCCCCGTAAAGATGAAACCCAGCACTTCCCCGTTTACATCCCCCAAAACATCCCCTTAACATAAACTGTAATTAAACGCTGTTCTACCATCGGCCGACGGGGTTGGAATCCGATTAAACGTGTTCTATTTTGCCGGACTATCACGTTCTACTCCAGGCTGGAGTATAATTCCGGGTTAATATGAGAGAGTGAGCCCTCCTTTCTGCTCCCTCGGCTGTCATGGCCTCACTGGAATTGATGAATAATCTTCGTCTATAATTGAGATTCCGACAGGGAGGCGATAGCCCTAGGTGTATCGCAGCTATTCAGCAGACTATGCTAGTGTAAAGGGAATACCAATGGAAACGGTTTTATCTGAGAACTTTATTGTTTATATGTGATATTTCGAGGCCCGCCATTTAACTATACAGGGTGTCCAATAAGTACCACGACAAACTTAAGGAGAAGGTAGGCCTTGGACCGACCTCCCAAATAACAAAACTTACCTGTATAAAAGTGTCACCGTTTTTGAGATATTGAATTTTGTCTTAAATTTTAGAAAAACGAACCCTTTCATCTGTGGACTTTAGTTGCATGTACAAATAAGGTTATGCGCTGTTCAGTTTTTCAATAAAATACTTCTAGATAGTTGCTTTATCATATAAAAATGTAATGGAGTTAAAAGATATTAAGGAACCATGATCAAATAAGGACTACTTTGGGATTTATAACTTTCTGATTTTTTTCCTCAACTTTGATCATCTGTGGTGAAAGAAAAAAGTACTGAGCTATAACTGCATTATATTGAATAAAAAGATTTATCATTGAATACAGATTTCAGAAAGGCACCACACGTATTATTTGGAATAGAAAATAGTGATAGCTGTAACTACACTACAGTCTAATTATTGGATTTAAATTTAAGTTGCACTGGTTACCGATCAGCGACATGCTAAATAGTACAAAGCTACATTATAATTACCTGCTCCTGATATGATTTTATGAAACTTACTGAAACTCGGACTCGAGTCAGTAACAATACAAAAGAACTATTTAGCGGGTTAGCGTGATATAAAGCACAAATTGTTTGTGAAAAAAATTTATTCTTTGAATATATACAATTTTAATATCTTCTTTGCATCAGTATTTATTTCAAAAACTGAAGCTGAAATAATGGACATATTAGAAACAATCTCTAAATATTTGCATGGACTAAATAATAACGAAAACAAAAATTTAATAAATATCAGATTAAAAGCAGAATTTGACCTTTGGAAGTCACGTACACTAGATATTAAAACAGTGTGATGTCACTATATTTATCGTGTGATGAAAACATTTTTCCTTCAATCAATAGATTTCATTGCCGATAAGTGTTGCGATATCTGAAAGAAGTTTCTCCCATCTAAAGAGGATAAACACTTGGCTGCGCTACACTATGTTACAAGAGCGATTAGTGGGTTTAGCTCTTTTGTATATGCATAGGGATATTAAAATAGACGTGAATACAATCATAGATCGGTTCGCCAGCAAAAAGAATAGGAGCCTTGATTTTGTAATATGATAACACCTGAACTTTGCCTAAGGTTGTCTCTCAAATCCGTCTCCCTTCTGTTGGCCAATAAATAAAAAACAGATGTATTGGGTTCACTTACGTTTAAATCAACACGGTGATCTTTTATCCAATCAAGATATGTGGTTTTATTTATTGGCCAGCAGATTGATATAAAAGTCTGTTCAAATTATGTTTAAATCACTTACTAAGCTAATGCAATGATTGTTTTATTTTGAGACTGCGAACTGATGTAGTTTCATAGTTTATGTTTTTCTTTTTTGAAACTGGCTAAGAGAATGTCGTTATGCAATGAATATTTTTTGACTTTTTCTCATGATTAAGCATTTTATTTTGATTTACTTTCAGTTTTATACTTTATAGAAGTCGTAATATATTTGTTATTGCTATTTTTTTCATGAAGATGTATTTTTTGTTGTTTTGTCTGACATTGTTATGTAGAAAAATTGTATGTATTTTCTACAGAAATTACTGTAACAAATTCATATGTCTACATATGTCCATGCTTTTAATGTTAAATTACCGCGGTTGACTCTCAGATTTGACAGTATGTTGACTGTTACAAGCTGTCAAATCTGTTCCACCGGACCGCTCTGACGAATAGTAGTCAAATCTGTTGCTACTGCTATTCAGCTTAAAGCGCTGCACCGTTGAAACTCTTTACGTTGGTAAAAGTGGTGGTCCCACTCAAGCCGTTACTCAGGGTAGTCACAGTTAGCTGGATTGCCTGAAGTTGCTTTAACCATTGCGCATCTCCGCAGCAACAACGCTGGTAATCGGCAGAAGGAATTGCAGAGGTTGCAAGCATACCGCCTTGCCTCGATAAATAACGAATGCGATTTGTCATTTTTATACCTCGCGCGACGTCGGGCCTGCGGCTATACGAGGGTGGGCGGAGGGAAGAGGAGAGGGCAAACGACATTATGGAGATTGTGAGCGCCTCGAGCGTCGTCGCCCTCAAATAAAATTTGTTTGGGAAGCTGTGGCCCGCTTCCATGTGGAGAAATATGCGCGACATACAAGCAGATAACGAATGAGTTTCGGCTACGGTTGTTTTGAGGTGAAAAATACGATGTAATAATGCAGAATGTACCGACGGATCTGAGGGATATGTCTAAAATTGCATGCTAAAGCTTGGGAACCTGTCATGTTCATAGTCATACTAATGATATGCGAATATTTAAGGGTGTGAATCTAAATGAGAAATTAATGTTAGTTTGCTTTACAAACTGTGGTCCAAGAATGTTTCCTTACAAAATCTCGGGGTGTTGAAGTTTTAGGAAAAAAAATGGAAATTAATTAATATTTTCAGTACCGCTTCAGATATTTCACTGATATTTAGTACGTAGTGAAAGTTAATAAAGCTGCATATTTTTCAATGCAAAAATAATTTTTAGATTAAACAGTGGCGTGCGTACTGGTATTGAGTTCGATATTTTTTAAGAAAAATAGTACGCCAATGGGTTTTTGCCAAATAAAAATTATTTTTGAATTCCCCGTTCAATTTAAAACAAATGATCTCTCCTGAATTGTTTTCGTTTGATGCGCCATTAATTTAAATGTTTTTCCTAAAACTTCAACCCCCGAGATTATGTAAGGAAACATGTTTCTACCCTAGTTTATAAAGCAAACATACATTAACTTTTCATGTAGATTTACGACCTTAACTATTCGCATATCATTAAGAAACACCCTGTATAAAGATAAGACAGACAAAGCGAATAAAATTAGAGATGACTCCAAAAAAAAAAACAGCTGATGGCATCAAATACTGTTCTCGTTTAGTCGGAAATAAATAAGTTGTTGCCAGATAGATAACTCTTATCGGAAAAATGTTATCGATCATCACATGCAGTAAACTCATTTTTGTTCAAATTTACTTTTGTTTGGACATTGATTCATGCTGGGCATATTTATCATCCATTTGCAGCCTACCAAATATGTTTCATTCGATAAAATTATAAATCACACTTTTCGCAGGAGAAGCTATTCTCAAAACCTGTATGCTATCACATAAAATAATTACGTTAGTTTAAAAGATTTCTTACCCCAAATTGCTTATTTGAAA